GATCCCGGGACTCCAGGATCATGACCTGAGCTGAAGGCAGTCGCTTAACCAACTGAGCCACCCAGGCGCCCCATTCTCTAAATCATACCTAAATTAGTAATACCCAAAGTAGAATAGTTTTTAATTTTTGCTTTGTATTAAGCATTGTGAGTTTTCACATTAAGACTACAGGTCTAATTTATAGTAAAAGATGTAGTCCTACTTTTAATTTTGAAATAGAAATTAATTTTGCAAGTGGAAAAAAATCTCTACTTAAAATTTAACATCAGCAATTGAATTTTAACAGATTTCTTTATTCAATTGTGACATCTAAATACTTCTCAGTGAGAGAAAAGGTAATGTCCTGTTGCTGTAAGGATGTGCAGTATTATATTGCCAGGTTCTATATTTTCTGTATAACTTATAGAAGAATGCCAAGTATTTCTTTGAAAGTTGTCTATAATTTTGACTCTATTCAAACAGTACCTCACTGAATTTCTAGTGTTTCGTTTGTTAAGCTTGTTTTTTATTTTTTGCTATGTTCATTAAAGCGTGTATAAAATTGAAAATACACTTATTTTTCTTTTCCAGTGTTAGAAATAAAGGTAACACTCAGTGATACAAAGATAAAACATTCTATCTCTCTTGCCTTAGGTCCAAGTAAATTTACTGGACAATAAAGAAAAGATTATAGAGAAATGCAGCCTGGAAATTTTTGTGGTTTATTTTTAATCATTGTACTAAATATATAGCCAACTCTGATTCTCGGGGTCTGATTTTGTTAATGTTCTTTTAAAAAAGTTCTTTGATAAAGTCCCTGGCACAATAAGTATATATGTATTTGCTTATTTACTCTCTTGTGAGGGCAATAGATAACAAATCAGGTAAATAGATATTTTGTAAAATATCTGAAAGGATGAAGAAAAGTAAAGTAGGATAATAAGAGAAAGAATGAGAGGTGCTCCCTCTGTGAAATCTAATTGAAGTCAGGGAGAAATTCATGCAAAAGTTTGGAGGAATAGCTTTCCAGACAGAGAGGCCAGCCAAGTGAAAAGGCTCTTAGATGAGAATATGCCTCGTGTGTTCCAGGAATAGCAAGAAGTCCAGGCTGGCTTGAGCAGAGAGATCCAGGGGGAAATTGTAGGAGATGAGGCCATTGAGAAATAGCCACAGGCTGTATCACACAGGTCCTAGTAGGACATGGTAAAGACTTTGGCTTTTATTCTAGTTACAGATCTGATGATCTATTCAAAAGGAAAGGTAGAATTCAAACATTAGGGAATTATAGGAAAAGATGCAGGGTTTTTAGTATGGCACTAACGCCTCCAGTAAAGGAGACAAGTTTTTCCATTTTATTACTTGTTCGGTTGAGACCTTAGTCTTGTTTGGGACTGTAAATGTGTGATAAAGATCAATACATTGATCTTTATAAGCATTTCAGTTACTGATGTTTTGCTATTGATATGGATAATCTGTAATTTACCTTGAATAATTATGTATCACATGCTGTTGGTTTCTTTCTATTTTAAAATAATTCTATGATAAGTCATATTCATAATCTAATAAGTAATTCCTTGGAAGTAATTTCTGTTTTGATCAGAATCAAATTAATTATTTTAGGTAATTAGGTACATTTTTAAATCATGCTTTAGCACACTTAAAAGGAACCCTAATCATTCAGAAAATCTAGTTGTTTATACTAATTGCTATCAGTCTATGTCTTTGAAAAAGATTATCTGATACTATAAAAATCCTCTGCATTTCATTATTTTAGTTTATTTAGCATCATTTTATAGATGCTAAAAATAAAGGTAGAGAGTTAAATAACCTGTCCAGTTCCTGAAGCCACTAGATAGAAGAGTATGATTGAAATCTGAGATTTTTTTTTTATTCTACCAGTTTACCAAAGTTTTAATTACAGATTTATACCTTATAGATATCAAATTCCATTTCAAATAAAGTCACTCCATCGTGTGGCTAAATTACAACCTAAGTCAGCCATTTCTAATAATTAAATGTTATTGAGCCACTGGGGCTGGGCAAAGTAGAGTAATAACTGTTTTAGTGATAACACTTTTCTAAATGTCTATTATAAATCATGAATAAGTTTCTCATGTCTTCTTCCTGAGCACCCAGACTTTTATTTCTTATGTATATTCAGTTTCAGTGCTTACCAGTTTTGCTCAAATATATGTTACTAGACTATATTAATTTGCCATATAGCAAAGTTGTAATTATTTATTCTTATGGTTCTATGAAGTAATGAAATGGATATGTTTTTTATGGATTTTATTTCAGTGCTAGTGATGCCATAAAAGGAGAAGGATTGCAAGAAGGTGTAGACTGGCTTCAAGGTACATCTCAAAATACTGTGCATCTTCAGCCTTTATTTCTATTCTTTTCACATTTTTATTTCCCTTTTTACATTTCATTTTTATTATATCATTGCCTTTCTCGTTTCCATTTATTTCTGCTGTCAGAAAAAACAATCCAGTAAGTATCCATTACCTTGCTACATTTACTTCTTTGTTTTGTTCTGTTCTGTTTTTTGTTGTTTTTTTGTTTTTTCGGTTGTTTTTTGGGTTTTGTGTGTGTGTGTGTGTGCGCGCGCGCACATGCTTGCAAAAAAGGTGGTTTTATTAAAGCACAGGGACAGGACCCATGGGCAGAAAGACCTGCACTAGGGTTGTGAGGAGCAATTGATTATATACTATGGGGTTGGGGGATGTAAGGGAAAAGGGAAGTTTTCGAAAGAACTTTCATATGCCAAAGAGGACCTACAAGATACCAGAGGCCTTGCCCTTTTCAAGTTAAGGTTGTTTTTCCCCCTTTGCAAGGCATTAACATTAAGATAGTTAGGAGCTTCCTGGAAGAATGTCACACATAATCCTACCCAGGAGTGTGGTGGAGGGGGAGATTGCAGGGTGTCAGCTTATGCTTTGTCCTCAGCAAGCCTTCTGCTCCCTCATCATTTCCCACCTGAACAATTTTGACCCTTAAATCTTTAAGGTTGTTGAAGGTAGAAGGTCTCATCTTCTGTAACTTCTTCCTGCTGAATAGGGGCATAGAGATGTCCATACCTATGGGTCAGTATTGTCAGTTGGGGAACATATGGGGGAGTTACAAAAGTTGGAGGCAGCTAAATCCAACGTGGTCAACATGTATGAACCTCCATGAGTAAAAAGGATCATCTGTCAGCTGGAAGTTACGGCAGTGGAGTCTTGACACTAGGCAGGGAGACACCAGAAATAAGAAAATAAGGTTAATATTGTAATGAAAAAGAGAAATCTGAATGAAAGAACTTTGATAGTTGACCTTTGATAATTTTCCTCCAGGCCAGGAGTTTAAAGCAATCACTAAAGGAAAGAGAGATCATTTAAAGTGCCAATTTGAGTATTCGTTCAGTTAGAAACCCAGATATATTTTTGTGGTAATCTGGAATGTATACGCAGCATTTTGTTTTTATGTTAGCACAAGTTTCACCCTTTGTAGCAGTTAAAACATCTAATGCCACTCTGTTTTGTAAAACTGCTTCATACATTTGTATTACTTTAGTATTTAATAGAGAAATGCCCTTTTGAGTGTCATTTAGGGCTTTGACCATGTACTTAATTAAGAGCTTCCATGTGCCAAACATCCTCCAGTCTCAAAGAGGGAACAAAAATGATGCTAGGTGGTCATACCAGTGTAACACAAAACGTGTCTATCGTTGTTTTAAATTTGGAAAGTTGGCTGGATTGGTAATGGTTTTAATAATGCATCCATGCATTCAGGCGAAACCTGAAGTACAGTGGCCTTTCCAGCCTGGGGGAAACTATGGACACAAGTTAGAGCTACATAGTCAGTGGGTCCATTAGGAGCCAGACATATAATGTTGGTCATCCTTTAACTGGAGTTAAGATATCAAGGGCTATTCAGTTTTAGAGGGCCACTTTTTAAATTTGTTGGTGACTGCCATGTCATGCTTACGGTGGTCACTGTGTGCTTGGCTAAAGTCTCGACTTGTAATTTTACATTAATAGAGGTAGTTCCTGGGACAAATATGACTAAGGAATAAAACCATCAAGAAGCCCTCTTTGTTTGAGGTCCAGCCTTAACAATATCGTAATTAAAAGGAATCACAGTTAAGTGAGAGAAGACTTGTCTCAGGCAATAAGGGCATCCCCAAGTGCATCATCCAATCCAGTCATAGAGAAAGTGGGGTCATCCATTATCTCCACAAGTCCATAGTTAACCTCATGGAGCAGGGTACGTTCCAGCTTTTAAGGAAAATTTTCATCATCCTATTCATACAGAATTGGTCAAGGTGATAGTTGAGTTATACAGTTGTTGGGGGATTAATCCCATTTTCCAGTTGTTTAAATAATCATATGCCCATGGGATCCTGTTGTTATCCCCACAGATGAACAAGCAATAAAATTATCTATATGTGAGTTATTGTGTAGAAATAGAAAAACTATTTCTCTGAAGTTACTTCAAGTTGTCTAACTTAAGCAAACATTTAAGGACAATCAAAACTAGGATTTAACATCCACAAAGGTGGGTTATTGAAACATAATTTTTCTCTCTAAAATAACCCTCATTTCCAGAGATAGCCAAATCAAGTCTAATTTGTTTACAAAACAAGTCCAATTTTAATAAACTTGGCCTAATTATTTACATAAGCCCAGCAAGAATAATGATCATATAGATCTTTTAGAATCTGCTTTGCTGGAACTTTTGTAAGGAATCTCTAGGTTGAACTTTTAGTAGCCTCTGCAGGCCAGAAGCCAAGCCAGCTACTTGCCATCAGACATGCCTGCCATACCTGTAGATTTGGGCGGATTCCTGTTCATGAGGTCCCCAGTATATCCTGAGGTTCCTGCACCTACCAGGAAGTGATACTTTTTTTTTTTTTTTGATGTAGTGTTCCATGATTCATTGTTTGCGTATAACACCCAGTGCTCCATGCAGAACGTGCCCTCTTTAATACCAATCACCAGGCTAACCCATCCTCCCACCCCCCCTAGGAAGTGATATTCTATACTCACCTGGTGAGGCTGCAGGGAACTCTGTAAGCAAGGTATCAGGCCAACATTTCCAAGAGGCTTTATGGCTCCATGTTTCATAAAGTCAGCCTTAGTTCCTCAAAGCTGTTTGGTCATATCTGAGTCTATGCATGTCTCTCTCAAATATGACATTCCAGTCAAAGCCTTGATAAAATAACTAATGTTTCCAATGGTGTCCTGTTACAAGGAGAACAGAAATAATAAAAATTTTAAAGTATTTAACTTTTTTGTCTACCTGAACCCTCCAAAATTCAAAAGGTCTCAATAAGTATTCTTTCTTCCTTGACAATCATAGTCATTTATATAAGTTTAATAACAATCTGTTCTCCTTGTAACAGGCTACGTTTACTTCTATTATATTTTTCTGAAGGGTTTATTTAAATAAAGAATTTGCATCTTTACAATCAATATACATGACAACTCTAGAAAATAATTTTAATTTATGGCAACAAATTTCTGTCAGATCTAGTGATAGAAGCACATTTGAAGTTTGGGACAAATTTCAGGCCTTACTGTCAATAATTAAAAATAAGTTTGAATAGAATATATCTTCTAAGAATCATGCTGAACTCTATGTATAACTCCACTTATACATGTTTACACAAATTTTAACACTCATTTAGTATTGTAAATACCGGTATTCTATGGATGTTTTGTATATTGCAGTTTTATTATTCATCAAAATAGCTATCATTGATTGGTACAGTCTTACCATATCAAGGAATAAATTAAGATATATCATTTCCTCTAAGATTACATTGTTTACTAATCACAGGAATGGATTGAAGCAGTGACCCACACAGAGCAATAGATGTGGATGAAACCAAGTTCTGTAGGTCCTTTTATTACAGGACCCTGAGTCAGGCCGAAAAATGTCCATTTGTGAGCAGAACTGGTGGGGAGTCATTCCTATCAGGAATCTCCCAGCCCTGAACAAGGGTGAATAACAAAATATTATTAATTCTAGTCATAGTCTTGTGGCTGTAAATTTAATTTCTTTTATACTAACCTTTTAATGCCAGTTATATATGTAATTTTGTTTTCTCTTATGCATATCCTGGTGAATCTAAGAATAGCCTGCTTGACCATACATAAAGAGACATAATATCTCTTTGGTTCAGAGTATTAAATGTACATCTGATAAATATTTTTATGTGTTATTAGTAAAATATGGTATTTTAATAAACTGCATAGACTATTGTATTTCTTTCTTTTTATGTAGAGATCATGACATTTACCATTAAACTACAAAGAATGTTATAGTCATACTTTACAATTAAGTAAAATATAACTGGGAACCTCTAATGGTGATAAAGAACTGGTTTACACTTCTGATGATTTGATGGGACTTATTCCCATATAAAACAGGTTAAGGAGCAGTGTTCTGCAGAAGATACCAGAAGCATATGTTCAGCCTTGATTTCTTATTTTCCCAGTGCTTATTGCTCACAGTGAAGATACAGTATGGATAAAATCCTACTGTTGCTCATGAAAACATAGTACCTACTGAAAATAGGTTGATAAATTGTAGTTCTCGCTTCCTTTTTTCATTTTTTGGTATATTTTGTCTGTAATAATGAGACCACTAGGTGTCAGTAACGATCCAACATCACAGTGCCACTTGCCAACTCTGGTCTTATTACCCAATTTTTGTGTCTTTGATTTCTCTGATTTATTATCTTTGTATCTTACTTCCCATTTTGTAAGGGGGATACACTGTTTAAAATATTTTTGTGCCTTTGTGTTACCATATTATTTTATGTAACTTTTAGAGCAGTTTTCTGTGAACAGTTTCCCTATTTTATGTAGGGAGCATAGAGTAGTAATAAAAAGCATTTGAGCTTTGAGTCTAGATTCATTCTACTACTTATTAACTAATTATTAACAATTTTCTGTTATTTTCTTTTGAAGATAATTTTCATCACCTATACAATTAAAAAGTAAAATGTCAAAAATTGTATGGATTAAATGAAACACTGTGTGAAAATGCCTAGCATAAGAAAAAAAACCCAATAAATATTAAATTTACCCTTTTACCTAACTACTCTCTATTTAGGAGAGGAGGAAACTTAGTACACAGATTAAAGTGTTATCAGCTTGGTTTTGAATAGGAGATCCTTTGTTCATCTTTCCTACGTAATAATAAATAGTTTACATTTTGATTCTCCAGACTCTTTCTCTGGATTTAAAAAGAGGTAAAAACCTAATTCGCAAATTAGGTAGCAGTAGATACAGGAGACTAGTCCATGCCTGTAGCTAAAGGTTTTTATGTAAATTTAACTGTAAAAGATATTCTGAATTTATATTTCTTCATTTTGATTCCAGAATTCTGAATTTCCTAGCATGATAAACAAGAAAGCCTCTGATTGATTTTGGACCAATTTAATCTTATTATTTTAAGGTTAAAAAATGTTGAGTAAAATATTAAATGACATATTTTGTGCCATGATTCCATTCTCTTTTGGAAGGATTTTCAATAATTACATACATATTATAACCCAAAGACAAGAACCCCTGAGTAGACTATGAAGTATTTTTTAAAACCACCAAAGAATGTACAGAAACGATTGCAGAGGTGTAAGTTGTTTTCTAGCTCTGAAACTTTCAAATGAGATATTTCTAAAAAAATCTTCCTAAAAGACTAATCTCATTTTATCACGTTATCTGTATGGGAAAAGCTAATGCTTCCAAGGTCTTAAAATAAGACTTTTATAAACTTATGCATATGGGTATTCCAATGAAAGATAGAGGACTGAGCACATACTTAGTTTCATCCCCTTCTCAAATCTTACTAACAGTAAGGGGGCTTTTGTTTAAAGACATTGTCCTATAAGGGCAAAAAGAAAAATGGAAGTGACAAAAATGGCAATGAAATTTTGGAGGCTGGTTGTCTGATGAATGTTGAATGACTTAACAGACCTGAGAATGGTGAATTCTAAACTAGCACTGAGGAAAGCTGGAAAGCATCCCACTTTACGATGCAGATACCCTCAAAGGCTCAGATATTGATGGGAAGTGGAAAGAAGGGTGAGGTGGGGCTGAAAAGAGAGACAGTTATACTTTCTTGCCCCCCAAAAAGATTGAAGGTTTATTCTTGTAGAGAGTTAAACAGAGTATCTCTGGACTAGGGTATACCAAGCACAACTGTGTGTGGCAGTGCTGATCTGAAAATGAGGAATAACTGAAAGTTTTATACCAAATAGTATAATCCTCTTCTGCCTTCTCCTACTTCTCCAAGAAGACACTGGCAGTAGGTAGGATATAGAAACTCATCTTTAAGAAATCAGACCAGTGAGAGAAAAGACCTAAAGGTATTAACCTCAAAGATTCCCAAGAAAATGGTGTAGCTAGCTACACTAGAATAAAGACCACATTTGACAAGCCTCACACACATATTGAAATTTCAGCTTTATAATGTTCATTCATACTTATGAGAAGATGGCAAAGGATCACCAGGCATTTGAGGACCAAAACATTATAAATTATGGAACATCAACAAACCAAAAAAGCAGGTTAGAGGAAGTAGAATATTTAAGGGAGAACATTTCAAGAAACTATTGGAGTATCCTCAAAGAGATAAGAAAAGGTATTATTTTCATGAATATGACCAGGGATGCTACTTGAAAAGGACCAAAGGGGAAAAAAAATAAGTTCTTGGAAAATAATAGAACAGAAGAAATGGAAAACTCAATAAAAAGAAGATAAAATAGAAGCATTCTCTCAGAAAGTAGAGCAAAAAGATAAAGATTGGAAAGAAAAGAAAGTAGGAGGCCCAATATCCAAATAACAGGAATTTTAGAATGAGCAAAGAGAGAAAATAGAGGGGAAAAAATTTATCAAATAAGTCACCAAATGGTATTTTCCAAAACTGATGAGTTTTTAGTTGAAAGGCCTCTTGAGACCCCAGTGCAGCAAATGAAAATATTACCACAACAAGGCTCACTATTACTTAATTTCAACACTGAAGACAATGGAAGATTCTACAACCTTCCTGGGAAGAAAGTAAAGTTTCATGTAAAGGATAAGGAAGCAGAAATGCGCATCAGACTTCTAAACATCAACATTTGGAAGCTGTTAATTGGGCAATGCCTGGAAAAGTCCAAGGAGAAAATAATGAAACTATATGCTCAGGCAGTATCAGTGTATTGTGACTGTAGAATTAAGACATCTTCAGCCATTCACAGTCTCAAGAATGTACTTTCTATACCTTTTACTAAAGTAGCCATTGAGAGGTATACTCTTCAAAGACAAAGGAATAAACCAAGAGGAGAAAATAAGAGACCACAAAACAGGAAAACCAGTATAAGAGCGTTTGGGAAGGATCCTCAGGATGATAATGAGAGATAATGAAATCCTAGAATGATAATGAAAGATCTCTTTATGAAGATAGCTGGGCAAGCATAGAGAATAGCTGGTCCAGATTAGAGAGTTTTAGAAGACTAAGGGAGAATTCTTCAAGAAAGTGAAATTCATAGGCTAGGTAATGTGCTTCGTAATGATAAAGGTTTAAACAGTGTGGGAGTAATGGGAATGAATTAGTGTTAAGTACCTTAAAAAACTAAGCAGACAGGCAGGATTGGAGAATGAGGCCCACTTATTAAAACAGGGAAAACAAAATGTAGAAGAAAGGAATAGCGGGGAGGGGGATACAACCTGTCTCAGATGTGAATAGCATGTACGTAGTCATCATATTGATGACTAGATTACTATGGTAGAAGAATGGGAGTGCTGGAAGCATAATGAGGCTTGCAGGGCAGCAGCGTAGAGTGTGTGAGAACTGAAGCCTCATATTACATTGAAGGAACTGATATTTCAAAAAGTAATGATAAAAGTATATTATTTAGAGATACAGAGGTAAATCTCCTAAGGGGTTAGAAGTGGTTGCCTATAAAAGAAAGAGGACCTGAGCCAAGGGACTATTTTTCATACAAACTTTGGAGAACTAATTGACTCTTAACTGTGTGCATGTACAATGACAGAAATAAAAACTACAGTGTGTGCTTTAAACAAACAAAAAAACACAGATGTGTGCATAGGCTTCTATAGTGTTTTTATAGATTTTTCTTGGATTACTTTAGAAAATGGATTTTGCCTGTGGGGACTGATAATTTTTTGTTTGGTTTTTGTTATCAGATCAGATCCAGGCTGTGAAGACATGAGAAGATAGTATTTGGAAACCTCAACAATTTTCAATTCAAGGAATGTATCTTAAGGCAAACTGAATACTTCAAATTTTTAAAAAGATGTTTGTGCGTCTAAGAATGCTAAGACTTTATAATCTTCTGCTTGCATTTATGGATTCTGAATGAACTTTTTAAGAACATAGGACTTCAGGTATGCTAATCTGACCATTAATTAAAACTAAATCTTTCCTCAGAAGGGCTCCTTCCCCAGAATTATCAACTTCTTGGTAAAAGTCTACATTTGATTGTAATTAGAATGTTTAAAGTCAGATTTATAAGCCATCTCAATATCTCATCATGATTTATAATATCTTTAATGCATTTTATTTTTTAAATTGTCTTCTAAAATTTAGTTTTATGATATGACTTTGCAGTATGATTGTGCTTGGAAAAAGAACTTTAAATATTTATAAGGGACCATGGGTAATTAATATATACATAAAATTTTTACTGTTTGTCACTATCAATAAAACATAATATGCAATGTACCAACTAGTGTACTTTGTTTACGCTGAAAAGAATAATGCTGTGTTGTCGTAATATTTAGTGTTTTACTGTCAAGCATTTGTAAATTATCTGAGACTGAATTAAGCTGAATTTATTTATCCAGTGAATGTGTATTGAACCTCTCTGTACCTACACTAGTCTGGCATTGTCCTAGGCACTGGTGATACAAGGTAAATAAGTAAGATATATTCTTTATCCTTAGAGAACTTAAAAATTAATGAGGGTGATTTTGAGAACCTTTTCATACACAGTATCAATTTTATTTCATTGGTTGAATGAATATCTTGAATTTTAAGATTAAGATGTATAGAAGTGAATTAATCTGATTCTTCAATAATTATTTTAACTGACTTCTTGTTTCTTTAAAATGTGTCTTTGTTAAAATAGATTGTGACTCACCAAACTATGTCTTTCCTGAGCATAAACTGCTACAAAAATGTTCTTTAGAATTTTAGACACATCTCAGCATCTACTCTATGCAAATTGTGTTAGTTCTCAAAACTTAGAGACCAGTTATCATTGTGAACTCTGAATAGAAGTTTTCATTTTAAATTAACCACTGGAAAACAGTATATAGAGCAATGGTGTCAATCCTGAAAAACATTGGATATAAAGAACAACTGTGGGCGCCTGGGTGGCTCGGTTGGTTAAGCGACTGTCTTCGGCTCAGGTCATGATCCTGGAGTCCGGGGATCGAGTCCCGCATCGGGCTCCCTGCTCAGCGGGGGGTCTGCTTCTCCCTCTGATCCTTCCCCTCTCATGCTCTCTGTCTCTCATTCTCTCTCTCGCAAATAAAAAAAAAAGAACAACTGTAATATACAATGTGTAAAACATCTTAAATGTCCTTAGCTGTGAAAATGATAAAAACAGGAGGCAAGAGGCACCTGCGTGGCTCATCGGTTGATCATCTGCCTTCGGCTTGGTCATAGTCCCAGGGTCCTGGCATGGAGCCCCCTGTCCTTCTCCCTCTCCTCCCCACTTGTGCTCTCGCTATCTCTTTCTCTCTCTCAAATAAATAAAATCTTAAAAAAAAAAAAAAAACAAAACAGGAGGCAAAAGGTAAGTAATACTAGGTGTGTTATCATAACTGTGGTACTGCTGTATGTGTCATAGAGATTTGAATAAAATCATTTTAGGGGTGCCTGGGTGGCTCAGTCATTAAGCATCTGCCTTCAGCTCAGGTCATAGTCCCAGGGTCCTGGGATCAAACCCTGCATCGGGCTCCCTGCTCAGCAGAAGCCTACTTCTCCCTCCCCTACTCCTCCTGCTTGTGTTCCCTCTCTCGCTATGTCTCTGTGTCAAATAAATAAATAAAATCTTTAAAAAATAAATAAAATCATTTTAAAACTATAATAAAGTTTTGTAATTCAGTTTCTCTTAGTCCAAAAATCCCAGTGGTTTAGAACTTAGCAAATCAAAAGTTATCCAGAATATTCCAATAGTCCAGCATTTTAGCTAGCTTGCAAGCCTCTCATAAATTGTTTTGATGAGGATACAAAGTGAGAGTCTCATTAATCTAGACTTGCCTTAAATATAAAAAGGACATGAAAACACTGTAATTTAACAAAATACTTATATGTTGTAGTTTAGGAGGATAGGAGAATAGTTTAGGAGGATGGAAAAAGGGTGTATTAGAATTCAAATCCTTATCCACCAGAACTATTATAATAACAATAACAGTAATAATAGCTATCACTATATGAACACTGTATTTTGGGGCTAGATACTATTACACATACTGGATTTTGCATTCTTTGTCACAATGACCTTGTGTGGTAGGTAGGTTTTATTATTTGTTTTATAGACAAGGAAACAGAGACCTAAAGAAGTTACTTGCTAAATGTCACTAGTAAATGCTGGTGCTGGGATTTAGAACCAAACCATCTGTTTAAGATAGATGAATTCAAGAGACAGGAGTATTAACAGATAGTGGAAATATAGAGCTATCTGCCACAAGGATAGCTAAAAGGATTGAAAAGGTTCTCATTGTGGTGGGAGACCAGGATGGGGTGGGAAAGTCAGAGAAAAGTGACTACTGTTTTGTTTTGTTTTTAATTTTTTCTTGTTTTAAGTCTCTAAACACTTCAGATTTTCAACTCGGGGTATATATAACTAATAAAAATACTTAAAACTATGCTGATACTGAGTTAATTGGTATTCCACAAACTACAGTAACTCACACCTATGCAAATATTTAGAAGAAAAGTACTAACTTTTTCCTCAGTTTCCATTATCTCCATATCTATAAACATCTATTCTACTCTACATTTTCATGTGAAGATTATATAGAAGCACATTGGGCTACAGGATGGCATAAAAGTGTGAATAAGCTGAGATTATTGCATTTGTGTTTAACATAGTATACAATTAAAATTTATTGCATTAAAACTCAAAGTGTTTTTTCATGTTTATATATCACTCTGTTACAAAGTGTAATTCATTAAGCTCTATATTTCAATATAAACACTTCATAAAATGTTCATTGTATGTATTGCATTTGAATATTTATATGTGGCCCTATTCAGCCTGTGCCTTGTAAATCACAAAAGAGCTGAGTTTTATATATTTGTTTTTCATTTATAGGTTGTCTGCTAAAAATTGTGAATTATTTCTTGATTGCTCAAGTTAATTTTTCTTTGGAATTCTTAGCATAACACGTTGTGATTTCCATAAATATATGCAATTACTCGAGAATACTTAAGGCAAATACATCCTATGTGTAACTCTGGTACATTAAAATGCTGTAGCATTTTAACTATGCATATTTTCTGCTTTCTGATTATTCTCTTACTTCTTAGTTTAAAAAATAAAACAGATTAAATGTTCACTTAAATAGATTTAAAATAGGTTTGTCCGTTTCTTTGGCTGCAGAGAAATACTGTAATAATAGAAAATTGGGTATTGTGTTTAATTGAATGTTTCAAGTAACTTAGTTATAATATTTTCATAGTGAATCTTTCTCACTAAGGATGCTCCTGCTGGGATTTGCAAGGGACTGCCTCAGGACCATTACTGACTCTTCCTTCTGATCACTCAATTTTAATGCCACACTTGGAGTTTCATCAGTGTACAATGCTAAACCTTTTCTGGTGATTTAGAATAAACCAAGAGGGACAAATTAAATGCTTCTCCAAATTTGAAGTCACCAAGTAATGCTACATACAAGTCATAGAGGAATAGTAGGTATTTTGAAACCAAAATTTGGTTAAATACGTAGTAGTAATAATAAACATTTTTTTAAAGTACTTTTTTTTTTTTTTTTAAAGATTTTATTTACTTGAGAGAGAGAAAGCACAGAGGGAGAGTGTGAGGGAGAAGCAGGCTCCCTGTCGAGCAGAGAGCCCAATGCGGGACTCCATCCCAGGACCCGGGATCATGACCTGAGCTGAAGGCAGACGCCCAACCGACTGAGCCACCCAGGCGGCCCAATAATAAACATTTTTATAGCTTTTACTATGTGCCAGGAACTTTCCAAGCACTTTACATGTATTAATTCATTTAATCCTCTTAACAACCCTATGAAATAGATGTTATTATCTCTGTTATATAGATCAGGTGTCAGCAAACTACCAATCTGGTTCTGTATGGCCCTTGAGCTAATAATTTTATATTTTTAAAGGATTAATTAAGAAAAAAAGAAGGAGCAACAGATACTGTAATGTGATTCACAATGCATAAAATTATTTACACTCTGGGGCTTTACATAAAAATGGTCAACCCCTGTTATAGTGCAATAGGGGACCCTGGATTTTGAGCCTAGACAATCTGTTTCCAGAATCTATGTTCTTAACCTCTATGAGGTTTGTCAAAAGGCTGAAGATTTTCTAAAATGGAATAGAACAATTTGAAATTACTTCTTTCTTAAATAATTATGTGAAGTATGAAAAATAGATTCAAATGCCTAAAAAGTAACGCTCTTTGAAATCTTTTTTTCTCCCCTGGTAAGATAGATGCCCTGGCCTTCTGAAGTCTTTCCTTCCTTTTCTTTAAATGAGTAGCAACACATTGGGAAGATTCTGAAACATCAGACATGTTAATATTTTAAAGATTGATTTATTTATTAGAGCAAGTGCACGCGTGGTGGGGGAGGGGCAAAGGGAAAGGGAGAGAGTCCTAAGTGGACTCCATGCTGAGTCGCCATTCTGAGATCACGACCTGAGCCAAAACCAAGAGTCATACACTTAACCACTTAACCCACTGAGCCAGCCAGGCACCCGTGGACATGTTAATATTTTAAAGTATAACCACACACAAAGTTATCCCAAGCATGTGGCTTGACCTTCCAGATTTCCCAATGACTTTTATCAGCATTTTGACGTCAATGATAACTAGTGTTGATAATCTTGAAATATATATGGTAAAATGTGGAAACATTTATGATTCAATTTGTGGATATGCATTTTTTAAAGATTTATTTTTAGAGAGAGCACAAGTCAGGGGAGGAGCAGAGGGAGAGAGAGAATCTCAAGCCGACTCCCCGCCAAGCGGGGAGCCCCATGTGGGGCTCGATCCCGTGACCCATGAAATCATGACCTGAGCTGAAGTCAAGAGTTGGACACTTAACCGACCGAGCCACCCAGGCACCCCGTGGATAGGCATTTTAAGTTAAGTGACCACAAGTAACAACTATAGCTAAAAATATTTTCTTAATTACAAACTTCATGGTTATGCCTGCATCTTCTAAGTTTTTGCCATGTGACTAGTAAATACAGCATATATCCATCCATAAAGGATGAGATCTCAACTTAGTCTCTCTCTCTCTCTTTCTCTCTCATTCTCTTTTGGAAAAGTTTATAAATTATTCCAAATATTCTATGAAATACCTTAATGTAGTCAACTATTACTGAAATAGGTTTATGCTTCTTCCAATTAAATGTAATCATTAATGTTGGCAGTTAAAGCCAATTTCACATTCAAGCTCTATCTTAGCCTAGTATACTGTGTGTGTGTGTGTGAGCATGTGCACACATGTTCACACTTCTCTCACCCCAGTGATCATTAACTTTTCTCCTTG